TAAAATAAAATGTTTTTACCACAGTCCAGAGCATCCGCTTCCAGGTCAACGCATACTATGTCGTTTGTGTGGTCAGTGTCCTGGGTAACGTCTACGGTCAGGGTGAAACACGCCTGCGTGTATTCTTCGCACTGAGAGTCAGCGTTGTCCGGAATCGTGACTGTAACCTGACCACTCATGAACTCGTCCTCTGCAGTAGCAGAGACAGAAGCGGTGTACACTGATGACGTCACATCTTGTGCATTACTTGAGAAGACGACGCTGAACCCATCTACATCAACACCGCCGTCATTCTGCTTTAAAGTGGCCTCGAAATCGATGGTTGTGCTGGTCAATTCAGTTATTTCAAACGTCAACAATTCTACATCTGAAATGAAAAAAAAGGTAAGCTATATGGTACGAAATTCTTCATTATATAAATCGCCCCCTCTAGCGTCCAATCCCTAATGGATTTGTGATCGGATGTGTTGATGGACGCAACGTCAAAAATGACCACTTTCCCCGTACACCCAGTTTGCTTTTGTCATGGCGGCAAATACAGTCCGGTAGTATTCGGTAAAAGGGATCTTAGTTTATGTCACGTCGACTGATACACCAAGAACCACAGCATCACCTTGTATCATATCACAGGGAGCCCAGAAACTGTAGTCAAATTGACGCCTATTCCGCAGAGAATTATAACTAACTGTACTGTATGCGGGTGTGTGTGTGTATCGGCTGGTATTTAGCGTACAGAAATACTGAGACAAAAATGAACACTCAAGCGATCCCACATTTTTCAAACTTGAAAGAAAGGGGACAAAATAAAAATCAAACTTTTGGGAATGTTTTACGATATTTTACTTGAAATGGGGCTTGGTGCAAATCTATCACCCTGTAGATATGGCTGGCAATAGACCCTTCGCACAATGTAACCGGAAGTGTATATGCGCATGCGCAATAATATGCAAATTTTGACCTAGATACCAGTAAGAAGTAAACTCGACATTTCGAGGACGTGTTATTTCCACGGAGTGCATGGTAAGTTTTTTTCTTGTACTGTCTTTGTTGTGACTCTGCTTTTTATGCAATTCAGCATCGAGCATGAACTATAGAATAACTTGAAAGCAACATTTGAGTTGAACCTGGTTTAAGCGCATGCACAATAATACCACTCAGCGTGACGAAAAAACGAGTCTGGGAGGGTGCTCGTTCAATGTACATGTATATGCGCTCAAAATTAAATCGATTTCCGAGAAAATGCAAATTATATACAAGTATATACAAGTATATTCACCTAAAATTTTTAATGGCGTGATGGAAATATGTGTTATTTTCACTGCATTGTGTGAACGTCTAATAAAAGTGTGAGGAATTATTATTTTGACTGTTATTCAAGTCACAGTGAATAATGATCTATTATTCTAATAATATAAATAGGTCTAAAATGACCATGCGCTGTTTTTTTTTTCAAAAATATTTTAATATTTGTTAATCCACATCTAATGGCTTAACATGTGGGAATATGTCATGTGACATGGAAAATATTTATCAAAAGTCCATGCTCGAAGGATTGCTGTTGGTTAGTGACGTTTGGGTTGTTCCTATCTACTTAACCCGAGCGTTTTAATAAGTGTGTTCATTTGATATTTTTTGCCCCAGTATGACATGCATTGAAAAGTAAACAAGCCCATCATGTACTCGCGATGTTTTATGAAAAGTCCTCTTATATAGTGTATCTAAACGACATGGTGCTACAATAGGTGATTTTCCGTTCAACTGCGAGATCTCGTAAGTTGCGTGAAAGACGCGCGCCGAACGAGATGGTTTTGAATTTCTTTATTTCGTAGCTTATATCGAAAGGTCGATCTTTGACAGAGGAAATATTGCGTTTGAATACTTCATCGTAATTGACCATCATCAAAAGCGCACATTATTAAGCATGGAAATGTCCCCTAAAATACGCATTTGTCGAATCCCACGCGATGTTTGTCGCCACTACGACGCTATGACCTTTGTTTGTCCTGTTTTTACGTTCGATTTCACGCATAACGCGGGATCTCGCAGTGAACGGAAAATGTTATATTGATACTTATTCTGACCTGGGCACTGTATTAGACCGCCGTTGTTTGTGCCATTGCCGATGTCTAAACAAAGTGCGTCATTACTGACGTCATCGTCTGCGGCGGCATCGTACACAACCTGGAAACACAGATAAACAAAATCGTTGCATTCTGCTCCGTCGTCGACGTCTATAATTACCGGCATTTCAACATTTAGGATCTCCCCGACGTCGGCAGCAGCGGTAGCGGTTCCTGCATTCGCTACCGCATTGGATACCACGTCGCCCCCCTCGTTTTTGAAATATGACGTCACCCCTGTGACGGCGACACCTCCGTTATGCTGCCCGACTCCAAATTGTACTGTAAGTGTGGTGGTTGTTGTAGTAGAATAACTGATTAAATCCAAACTATCGGGTGATGTTATTAACGCCATAACCATCTCCACGTCTGAAAATAAAATAATTGAACCATATACGTGAATACAAGCAATATCAATATCGACATGCTTAGCAAACATAGCCTGATTATAAGAAAAAAAGAGACGTTGAATTGTCCGAGTTACGGACATCGAGTTAAGAACATCGAGTTACGAGAAAATCGAGTTACAGAAATGACCTCGCCCACATTTTTGAAACCACACCCACTTTTGTGAACTGAAACCACGCCCAAATTGTAACTCGATGTTCAATTAACAGTTAACAGAACTTCGAGTTACGGGCAACATACATGTTGGTGTTTGTTGAACGTCCTCACTCTATAACTCGAACTTTAAATAAAGGTTAACCACACTTCGAGTTACGGGCAATATATATTTTTTGTATTGTTTACCTTTCAAATTTTGGAACTCGAATTTCATTAACAGTCAGAAAAAAAGACACCATACATGGAAGTTCAGATTGTAAAGTGTCAGTCGCCCGATGTGTCATGTTCGTTATAGGACCCACGCTACCTATGCAAAGCATGAAATTCACACGAATTGTATGGAGCAGTTGTTATCCGAGAATACAAAGAATATTCCGCATTTTTGAAGTGAAATTCATGCGACTTTAACGTCGATCCAATTAATAGCAATACTAAACATACTTACCACCTGCAAAGCATGTTCTTGTGAAACAAACTACCATTAGCATAAGAGACCATTTAAAAGCACTAGAAGATAGGACAAATTGTAAAATTAATTGTGACGTATGTTGTGTATGCATTTGAGGCAGTGTCATTAGCATGTGTAGAAATGTACATGTAACTGGGGCAAACTTCAAAGGGAGCTAATATTTATACTGCGCAATAGTAGTTTAAAAGGCGGTAGTCGTCGCGCCACGTCCTGTTCGATATGGGACACATAGCGACGTATACAACGCGTGTAAAGTATATTGTTTATTTACATGAAATTCGAACACGCGCTGCGCGACGACCACCGCGCTTTAAGAAATGTAAACTTATTATTGTATTAACATATGATTTACCTTGCGTACTGCATTATGCTGTAGCTAGAACAATTGTAAATTTATGCCCCTGCGGTCTTCAAGAAAAACAATAGAAAAGCAGATGTTCTTGAAAGATTCATATATTTCAATTGTTTGCCAAACATTACGGCTTGCGATTCTCCCGCCAGGGCTTGTTTCCACTTCTCGACTCCACGAATCGTGAGCTTAATTTAAAGAAGCGGTGTGTTTCGTAGGAACACAACCTTTTTTTTTAAATCGTAGTAAAAATGTAAAATCATTTCCCGTTTCAATACGTAACCATACTGTACAGTTTTGAAGACGAGTTTTAATGATTATAACTTCACTAGCTACGACCGGGTGTGAAATATAAATATGCCGGATATGACGTATTCAGACAAGAAACACTACTTTGCCTCGGAAATCGCCCCAGGCTAACTATAAGCTGATTTTCCCCAGCGCATATGGTGGGGGACATACAGTTCGATCACAGTCCCTCTATAGGATAGAGGGACTGTGGTTTGGTCAGCCATTTTTGAAAATCAGTTTTGTTCGTGAAGATTTAATCTAATTACAACTTGACAGTTATTTTGACAACCCGTGCACGGCAAAACATAATAGATTTCTTTTGATGTCGTTCTCAGTTGTCTGTACCCTTTCAATAACCGTCTATGTTTCTATACTATAGTTCGTATTATACTGCATTGTATTAGTGTCTTTGTCAAGTACTCGTATACGTGGCAAAATAAACAGTCGTGTCGTCGGGGATAACAAATTAAATAACTCCAACTGCTTTGTTCGAGTAAGGCTTAATTTTCGGGCTCACTCATTATTTTCTTTTTTTCTCTGTTTTTCATTTAAGCACCGTGGTAATTGCGTGAGTACGCACTCAAGAACCAAGAAAGCTTCTTTTATTTTTTTTTACGGTAATCTTCCATATCATAAACAAACATTTTACGAAACAATAAATTACCATTCAAAACCTCGGTCGTTACTAATACAAGTAATATGAATATATAATATTTACAATAAATATCTGTATATGATTTTAAGACAGAATATAAACTTTTGTTCTTGTTATCAAAACCGATGACGTCATTGTCTCTGTTGGTTTTAAGGCCATCACGGTATTTCCCCCCACCCCCACCCATGCCTTGGCATGTTTTCTTGGTCTAGTATTACTTGGGATATATTTTTTCTATATCCTGCTCAATATTGTAAAAATAAATAAATTAAGATAATAAGCTTTGAATCTTCATAGTGTTGTATTTCTTACAACCATGGAAACGAATGGTTCACAGGTATATAACGCGTCACCAATTAAGTAAGACGTGTTTGTCTGTGTATGAGTGTGGATCACCAATAGATCAATGAAGCTCTGTCTTATAAGAATATGTAACAATGTAACAGATTATAAATACGTGCGGGGATTTTACTCTATAAATGCACGTTGCTTATCAAAATCTGCGTCACTCAAAACAGCCCTGATGTCGTTTGCAATTTGGGGACCAACCTGTCAATGGAATGGGCGTTGTCTCATTCAATTCACTGAAATCAACTATACACGCGAAAGTTCATTTGGAGGGCACGTTTTCAAACTAGGTCGACGCCCGTGTGAAATTTATATGTGTAATCATTTTCCGGTTAATGTCAAATCGGATTTAAAACAAAATAGATGATGTTATGTCAAGATCTAGTTCAGATGAATATTATCCTTCGCACTAATATGGGATATTAATTAATGAGCCCTATAAGATTGAGCCCTCTTTCGGGCATGTCTGCGTTCTTTGTTGCGGCATCACATGAAATTCCACTGACTGAGGCTGATATTATTGGTTGCATCGGTACGCGTGCCCCCAACTATATGTTTTAGTTGAAATCCGTGAAACACTTGGTTTATACATCCACTTCGGAACGGTTGGCACGTAGTATTTATTCGCGAATTGCTCTATTGGGCGTATTCCAGGTCAGCAGAAACAGAATAGCAAACTGCATGTCGGAAATGCCTTGCTAAATCATTGTACTGATCACTAGAGGAGGAGAAAAAAAAATTCAACTATGCAGACGTTGCAGACGATGATTGTTGCCCTTATCGATACAGAAATAGCTTCTGGCGTGTCGCACATGGAGTAGTTATTAAAGGGCCGAAATCGTCGCGCAGCGCGTGCTCGAATTCCATATAAATAAACAATGTATTTTACACGCGTTGTATACGTCGCTATGAGTTCCATATCGAACATGATGCGGCGCGACGACCACCGCCTTTCAGGTCTGTGATAACTTGATGCGATTGCGATGGTGAGTTAACGAAACCGAAACATAAAGAAGAACAAAAAAAGAAGAAACAACAACAACAACAACAAACAAGGAATTGCAATCGTGGGATCTACGTACCTTTTCGCGGTCATGATGATAACGTATTGTAACAAGACCTGGCAATGTATTGAACAGACCGTGTGGTGTACTAGTAGTACTGCGCGACAACTCGACAGAGAAAGCACACTGTACGACCTCCTGCTAAACTGTGAAGGCCAATTATCATAACCAAGAACACGTCATAATCGTCGCCATGGTCACGGTCGTGGCAACAATGGCAGTGTTGTCGTACAAACGTCTGGCATCAATGACAAAGAATATTCTTCATTTTTCAAACAGACAAACGTGACACACAACGTCAATGGCAGATCAGTACAAAACGCTCACATGATCCTAATAGTCCAGATATCTTAACGGAATGGACGAAATTTTATATGATATTGGCAGTGAACGCGTCCGCTTGTTTCCATGGTAACACGAACGAGAGTCATTCAAGGTAGCAACGGATTTACATTGAATATATTTTATTAGTTGTTTTAAAAATAGATTTAACAACATATGCAAATTTAACCTTTTCTTGAACTTGATTATTTTAATACAACGTTCCGATTATAACAAATGATAACTATTTAATTGAAAACATAGTGATATACTAAGTTTTCATTGTTTTTTTTAAATATTTATTAAAATTACATATTTTTCACATACTTTTTATTTTATTATTTATTTTCTGGCAGTTTAAATGTTTTGGTAATCACAAAAGCCCACAAGTTAAAATACAAAATATAATGTGCGTAATAATAATAAAAATGTACGAATAAAGTAAAATATACGAAGGTCAACATTGTTTTCGTCCATAAATAATAAAACTGGTTTGGGGGATTGACTATATTCCAAATTGCGAATTACTTCATAACCAAGTACAGATGTCGATACGAACTACAATGGTTTCACCTGTTTATGACGATAGAGGACGCGCATTTTAGCGTAGTTGTTCACCCGTTTGAAAGAGTTCAGTTAGAGGTCAAGCAGAGGCTTAGTTATTACTAGAGAGTACCGTACAATGTATTGCACGCTGTCTATAGCATAGCCAATGTAGCGAATTAGCGTTAACGTGATAATCCGTTTTGATTGGCAAATATGGCATACAGTGTTGTACGTTTTGTTATTCTGAGATGGTCAGGATAATATAGAATTACAGCCGTCTTGATACTAGTATAACAATGTACATACAATTACACGAGTCGGGATAAATTTGGTCGTGAAGTATTGAGATGATTGATCGAACTGATGTTTTTTGAAAGCATGTATGTCCCTCGGCAAATGATTGTATGCGCTGGGACGAGGTAAGATTGTAGTTTAGATTTCCAATGCAAAGTGGCGCTTTTCGTCTGGATATGTCATCATATCCGCCATATTTGTTCATCCTCGATCGTAGCTGTTGACGTTATAATCATTAAACCAAGATATTTTTTATAACTCGCCATGATAAATGGTTGAATTGAAATACCACGATATAAAAAGTAACAAATTCCACTCGCTTAGCGCAGGTCGGCATGAGTTGGTGATCGTACGTGTCGACAAGGAACCCCGAACGAGGCTGCAATTTGATGACGTAATGAGACAGAGTTTCCCGCACGCAAGAAACTCGCTAATATTCTCTTCTCGTTGATGTTCAAGCTTAGGCGGAATTTGCAGACTAACATAAACGAAAAAAACAAACAAACGAATTGTTCATACGCGGCAGTTGCTTTAAACACAGTTCGCCTATAGAGGGACAGTGCTTCAAACTTTGAACGACATAAACCTTGAGTTATATAAACAATTTCGTAGTGCAGATCAGCCTGCTGTGGTTCCATTTCAATGATTCCAAACTTAGCTGCCTGATCATATCACAAAACTATCAGCAACGACACGCACAATACATTCAATGGTCAAGATTCAATGTTGTTGAAAGCTTTACAAAACAGTTTCTTTGTTCATTATATTCACGTATCCATTGAATAGCCGCGTTTACATTGATCTGTCTATGACAATCGCCTTATAAATGAGGTCTCGCACACCTGACCGTTGACGCCCCAGAC